CGCGCACTACTAACCCAAGGATAAGGTTAATGTGTGTGCCCTGCACCTCGGCGCTCGGGGCTACAAAAACCGCGCAATTGATATGCTGGAGCGATTGCCCGTCGGAAGATGCTCAACACAGACCACAGGGGACCTTTTCCTTCGTTGAGCATATTGTCGTCGGCGACCGTGCCTAATTCACCCAATCCGATGACGTCCATGCGATCTGTCCCTCCCGTCGGATCGGTCGCGGTCAAACGCATCACTTTGACATCCAAGAAGAACTGGTGGATGGGTGCGTGCGTAATCTGGCGTAGAATCAACAACAGACTAATAGTTGTGTTCAGTCGAGCTCGATGAGGAGGAGAACCAGTTGAATGCCGTACAACCCCTCCAATCACCCGCAGAACCCGTACTGAACGACTACGTTCCCCATCCGCACCCGCACCCGCACCAGCATCCACATGCTCTCCCACCAGCCATTCCGACCTCCCCAGGCTACAATGCACCAAGAAACCCGAACACTATCTTCTCTTTCCCCACACCCGCAATCTATTCGGCTCCACCCAATCCCACGGTATCACTACCGCCCTTCGCCCAGGGCTCTGCATCTGAGCTTTTCAAATGCATAGTGAAAAAACCGGAGGTTGTGCAGCTAGAGATCAACGACGAAATGCAAAGCAATGCTTTAGATGTCACCGCTCAGTTCTTTGCTGAGTTGCGTGTCTACACCCATGTGGCGCCGCATCGAAACATCCCCGTCTTCCTGGGATGTCTCGATGGCGTCGGCATGGTCCTCGAATTTCTGGAAGGAGGGACGCTTTATGACTATCTTAAGCAGTTCGCCCCGCTGCCGCGTATCCGCTTATGTGATTTCCACAACCAGCTACTTGATGCGCTCACCCATCTGCACGCATACGGGCTTTCCCATGGCGACCTCTCATTACTCAATGTCCAAATAATCGAGAGTTTGGGGAATTAACACTGAAAATAATCGACTTCGGCCGGTCAGTGGCAGCCACTTCGGTGTTCGCGCCGCCAGACGGTGACCCGGCTGACCCTTGGGCACACTTGGATACCGACCGAACTGAGCCCCGTATAGAGCAAATATTTCCGGGTACGCGTCCTTTCTCGGCCCCGGAAATTCTGCGAGGGGAGTGTCATGATGCCCGACTTGCGGACGCGTACAGTTTCGGAATGGTTTTGGTATGCTTGGAACGGGGACAGCTGGTTGACGTGAAGCCCTGGAACCAGCGGAAAGACCTGTACCCTGAGGACCTTTTGGACGGGTGTACATTATTTGGAGGAAGGATAAGGCAGTATCTAAGGAGATGGGATGAGCGAAGAAGGCTTTTGCGGGAAGATATGGTCGACATGGCGAAAGCTTGACCAATGGGTTGGTCCAGCTGATAACTGTGCGATCTGTGCGTGCATTAGTAGGTCTAGGATATACCCCGCGGGAGATAGACGATGTAGCAGTAGCCGCTGTACCCGAACCATCGAACACACCTGATCAAGTAAACAAGGCCACACAGTCCAACCTCTCCACCTCAACCTCTCCACCTCACTTTTTGAGTCAATCACCTCGCCACTCATGGCATTCGTCCACCCTTCGCGTATGGCCCTCGTACCTAATGATTCTGGGTCTGTTCGCCCCTCCGGTAGTCATCTCTCTTCCCCACCTGCTTCCCCATGGCACCCCCAACCAAGTACCAACAGTGGGCGTGGCCAGAACGTGGACCACTACCAACGTAGTAGGAACGGAGAATACAATGCCGGACGTGGGCAAAGCGGCCGCAGAGACAATAGTCGTGACTACAGGGACAGAAATGATGAGCGACGACGTGACCGGGGCCGTAGCAGTGACCGCAACGTGCACCGTGACCAAGATAGTCATCAGAGCCGCCACCGCAGCAAAGGCGATAGTAATAATGACCGTAGAGACGAGAATGCAGAGGACAGCAACCCAAGGGGAATGCGGGTTCAGCGAGATGATCGCTCTTCGGACCGGTCACCACCCCCACCCTCTAGGCCTCCCCTTGGGCGCGCAAGTCCTAGATACGATGACTACTCCCGAAGAGATTCCACCCCACCGCCATTACCCCACAACGACAAACCCAGGCGGCCAGACACACCACCCGAGAATGGCCCCCATTGGCGTCAACAGGAAAACATGTACAGAAGGGACAATCGGTGGGACGGAGGGGGTGACTATTTCGAACGGTAAGTGGTCTTATGTATCAGCCTATCAGTGCCCCTCATAGTTTTTTTTTCCAGACGCCGGCAACAACGTGTCAATAGCACTTTCAGTATCTGGCCGCCGTCTCCTCGTGCTCCTGCTCGGGATCTGTGCGCATTCTTTACTCTCTCAGGGTACATTATTGCTAACCTACACCCTATAGGTCATTAGAGCGAGAACTAGAATCACGCAAAAAGCATAAGCGAAATCGCTCCACTTCTGTTTCATCCTCAACAATGGATAGTGAAGAGGACCGGAGGCGTCGTGAAAGAAAAGAACGCAAACGAGCGAGGAAGGAAAGGGAAAAAGAACGGCGACATCGACGCGCACAATATTCGGATGATGAAGCCCGTGAGCGCCATCGTGATAGCAGGCGAAAACGCAGCCGGTCAACAACTCGTGAGCCTCGCAAGGCTCGCTCACAAACGCAAAGCCCACGCCGCGTCCAGTCAAGCGATGAAGATGAATGGGTGGAAAAACCTTCCGGTTCATTTGTCCCCGCTGTTCCCACTACTATTCCGCCCCCAGACATTTCACCACCATCTGCCATCCGGACCACCCAGAAAAAGGTTATCGACGAGGATGCATCCGACGAGGGTATTGGCCCACAGCCGGCCCCAACGCCACTGGTTTCCAAGAAGCTTGATGAACGGGCTTACGGCGGAGCTCTCCTGCGCGGAGAAGGCAGCGCCATGGCCGCTTTCTTGCAAGACGGCACGGATGTGCGCATTCCGCGGCGTGGAGAAATCGGTCTTACCTCTGGTGAAATCGGCAAGTTCGAGGCAGTGGGGTATGTCATGAGCGGCTCGCGGCACCGTCGCATGAACGCGGTACGGATGCGCAAAGAAAACCAGGTTATCAGTGCCGAAGAAAAACGGGGAATATTGAAACTGCAGCAAGAGGAGAAACAGAGGCGCGAGGCCATTTTGAGGGAGGAGTTCCAAGAGCTCTTAACAGACCGACTCAAAGGAGCAGAAGGCACCAAAGCCTCATCATAGAATTTCTTGATAGGTTCTCATCTACTGTTATTATCCCTAGTTTTCAGTGGGCTGCTTGTTTGTGCTCGCTGCGAATACAATATTCCTCAGGGGGCACTCTAGCGTGGAGCTTATGCATAAGAAAACTGTGACTGATGGACATAGTACACAACATTCCAAAGTTGAGATACGAGTGAGATGACGTCACGAAACACAGCAAGGTCTTCACAGTTCTTGATGATTGGATTTGCTGGCCAAGCCCACGAGCTCAACATCGAAGACCAAGGCCGAGTTGGCTGGGATCACGGATCCAAATCCGCGTTCTCCTAGATGCGAGCGTCAATGCAAACGGCAAATACAGGTACAGACTACAACGAACCATAAGCCATGTGGGGAGGGATAGTAAGGGTGCGTTTTTCGCCGATGCACATCCCGACAAGGCCCTCATCCCAACCTTTTATGACCTGTCCAGCACCAACTAGAAGGGTAGAAAGGTGTCAAAAACACAAGCAAAAAATCCCAGGAGAGACGACCGCACGAGTGACGGGTAAAGGTTGGCCGCGCCCGATGCTACAGAACGTCGTATGTCAGCGCGGGGACGATAAAAACATAGGCGAACAGGGCATTCGCAGCCGTACCTCGAGTCGAATTCGTTGCCATTGGAAAACAGTCTTCCGGTCTGCAAAAGGCAGGAGGGGAGAATGAGGCTTTAATTAGCCACGACGTAACATCCCACAACGCAGGGAGGCAGGCGTGCGGAGGCCTAAGCCTACAGCACAAGAACGCACATAGTGAACCTTGATCCGGTCGCCCTTCTTTGCTTTGACCGTGCAGTCTTCCGGCGAATACGTCGTCTTGATTTCTAGCTCCTTGGGCGGGGATTGCTGCGCCGATACGAGCAATCCAAAAACAAAGACGGACAAGAACCGTAAAACTTGCATCTTTCTCGGGTTCTGCAATAAAAGTGAACGCGAGCCGTTTCGCGTTCGTGCTTCGCGATTCTGGTCGTGTTCGCCCGCTGTGATCCAATATTGGCCGTCGGAGCTACATTTCCGCTTTTGGGGAGAGAAGCAGCCCAGGATTTGTCAGCCAATGCAGCTGTACAGTTCTTGCGCGGTAACTTTATTGTCCCCATCATCGTCAAGCTCAAAGGCAAGAAGCGAACGCAACGTCTGCACTTGCGCCGCTGCAAGCAAGATTCATAGAATGGTGCGTACAAGTGAACGCTGCTGCTTCTAGTGATGCTCAGTCATAGTGTTCAACTAGCCTTCCCAAAAATCATTCCGTACAAAACGCATTCTAGCCAAAGCTTCACGCCAGAACCGGTGAGCCTACTCCTCTTTGGCGGTAGACCCGTCCTCATGTTCGAATGCAGGCCCATCCCTCAATGGTTCCGTCTAAAGTCTGATACCAAGATCCAAGTGCGTTGTTGGCGTTCTCCAGACTGAATGAATGTGCTCCGAAACTGATATTTACTCGCATGTAGTACAATGCCAAACGCCGTCATTGGAGACGTACAAAACTGAACATATGAGTATATGTGGCAGAGTTGGTCATTTCATGGCAAATCGTAGCTGTCTCTTTTTCTCCTAGGAATGTAAATCCCGAGGGTGCATCCTCGCTCATTTTGAAATCCGTTATCCTAAGACAGTAGCTAATATTTGTGCTGGCGGATAAATGGCTCAGGGATACTTCAAATCCATGTCATCCAATAAATGTTCAGTTCGGTCGGAAGCCAGGGATGAAATCTCCCTTGATTAATAGGTCATTCTGTCTGAAGTTTATCACTTTAATGAGAAAAAAAATGCGTTGGCCGGGAATCGAACCCGGAGCTGCACATATTTCCACATGGGAATGAACAAGGTTACCCTTACCCCACCAACGCTTAATATATTCTCCCTTAATTTAGTTTGTATTCCGCTTCAGAAAATCTTATATTCTTATTCGCTGTGGTAACTAACACTGTTTGTATCGGCCCGGTGGGGGCAGCGTGACTTGAACTCTTTCAACCGCGACCACCATGGCGGACGTACCAACACTGAGCATCACTCTGTTGGGTGCAGGTCAAGAAGTTGGAAGGTCGTGCTGCGTGCTTCAATATCGAGACATCACTATCGTTCTGGATGCTGGTGTACATCCCGCACATACAGGGATGGCGTCCCTACCCTTCATTGATGAGTTAGACTGGAGTACAGTAGACGCAATACTCATCACCCAGTGCGCTTGCTTTCATACTGAGCCGGGAACAATACCTTCAACATTCGTCCAGTTTCCATTTAGATCATGCGGCGGCGTTGACATACATCACTGAAAAGGTATGGGGAGTTACACTCAATGACATCTGCTCAACTCAAATTGTGTAGACAAATTTCAAGGAAGGAAAAGGCAAAGTTTACATGACCCATCCAACGAAAGCCCTTCACAAGTTTATGATGCAAGATTTCGTCCGGATGAGGTGGTGTCGCTAATCGATGTCACTGTTTATTCATGGCCTCTTATATCTTTTTCAGCAATTCATCGACCGACGCTCTGATTTCACCGCTTGATTTGTCAATGTCTATTTCTTCCATCATTCCCGTCTCCGTTCACCAGCTGATCACACCCTGTCCTGGAGTGACTTTTACGCCATACCATGCGGGACACGTTCTTGGGGCGTGCATGTACATGATTGACATAGCTGGCCTAAAAGTTCTCTACACAGGTGATTATTCTCGTGAGGAGGATCGCCATCTCGTAAAGGCTGAGATACCTCCCATACGTCCGGACGTGCTCATCGTCGAGAGTACTTATGGTGTGCAAAGCCTCGAGGGGCGTGAGGAAAAGGAGCTGCGCTTTACGAACTTAGTTCACTCCATCATTCGCCGGGGGGGACACGTGTTACTTCCAACATTTGCGTTGGGCCGTGCGCAGGAGCTTTTGCTCATCCTTGATGAGTACTGGAAGAAGCACCCTGACCTGCATAACGTTCCCATCTACTACGCGTCGAGCCTCGCACGCAAGTGTATGGCTGTGTATCAAACGTATATTCATACTATGAATTCCAACATCCGATCAAGGTTTGCAAGGAGGGACAACCCGTTCGTCTTCAAGTACGTTCCTTTATTCCTCGTCTTTATGGCGTTTTCGCTCAACACATACTCAGGCACATCTCGAATGTACCTCAAGCTCGTGGTTGGGAGCGCAAAATAGCCGAGGGACCCCCCTGTGTCGTCCTTGCTAGTCCCGGGATGTTGCAAACTGGCACAAGCAGGGAATTGTTTGAGCTCTGGGCTCCTGACTCTCGAAATGGCCTCATTGTCACTGGTTACTCCGTGGAAGGCACGCCAGCACGGGTGAGTCACCCTCCACTTTAGTAGCGTGCTGTTTCTGGGGCAGAGGTAACTCCCTTGTGTATATACGAAGCAATGGATATCATTCTCCCACCACGTGTGATTCCTGAGTCTTTCACATACTTAATGAGGGGTGCACTCAACGACCTTGCTGATCACTTCTCACTTCTCACAATAGGAAATCATGAATGAACCAGATGAGATAATTGGAATGAAGGGCAATACCATCCCGCGCAAGATTTCTGTGGACTACATCTCCTTTAGTGCACACGTCGATTACTCACAGAACTCAGAGTTCATTGACTTGATCAAGGCTCCTCACATTGTGCGTTCATCTAGCCTTTCCCTACCCCATCGCCTTGACGTACATCGTAGGTCCTCGTACATGGCGAACAAACAGCCATGGGTCGCCTTAGGGCTGCGCTGCAGGCGAAATATAAGAACCGGGACGAGGATATCAAAATCCACTCACCTCGCAACCTCGAGACGTTGAATCTCACTTTCCGCCCGAACGAGTGGCCAAAGTAATCGGCAGCCTGGCTACGAAACCACCCCAGGCGGGCGACGTGCTCTCTGGCTTGCTCGTGTCGAAAGATTACTCATACACGTTGTTGGATCCTCGTGACTTGCGCGACTTTGCTGGACTTTCGACGTGCGTTGTGACGCAACGTCAGAAAATCGCTCTTGGCGTTGGATGGAGTCTCGTCAGGTGGCACCTGGAGGGTATGTACGGCCATATTGAAGAGGGACTGGATCAGGATGAGATCCCAACGATGCGGGTACGTCCCGTTGGTGTCGGCCCTGCCAAGACGGAACTGACCTTACTGATTGCATCAGGTAATGGGTGCGGTAGATGTGAAACAAACCGCCGAAAATGAACTTGTACTAGAATGGGATTCGAGCGCTGCAAACGATATAATTGCTGATTCAACGCTCGCAATCATCACGGAGATTGACAAGAGTCCAGCATCAGTAAAACGTATGATCCCTTGTGGCTGTGCATGTATATGTGTACCTCAACCTAATCTTGGCACCTAGTGACGGCTGGAACACAAGGGCATCGGCATGAGCACGAGCATCACCCGCATTCGGATCACGACTACACGCATAACCCAATGGTCCGCATTCAGCGGCTGGGCATGTTCCTTGAAGCCCATTTTGGAGAGGTCGAATACCACATGCCCGACGAGGATATGGAGGCCGAACAAGAGGAGCCGACACCCCACGGCGAACCATCATTCTTGATCCAACTAGACGATGCAGAGGCTCGAATTAATCTGCTTTCCATGGTTCACTCCTCTCTTTCTAGACCATACATTCTTGCTGACGTCAAATGTGCACAGACGGTCAATAGCAGTAGCGAGGTACTGCGAAGACGAGTCGAAGGAGTCCTCGAAATGGCTTTATCAACAGTAAGCTCGCTAAGCGAGTCGTTCCTGTCTGGCGCCCCTGAGGAGTTCTCGAGCGGTCGCATTTATAAGCGAAAAGGCGACGTTCCTTCATCAAATGAGACGGATTTAAATGCTGAGAAAGCTGCTAGCGATGATGGCGGGAAAGACTCGGAAGTCAATCGGGATCAGGATGAGAGGTTACCTCAGGAGGTGGAAACTGTCTCGCCATGATTGATAGGGCCCATCAGCGATGAGATGGAGGGGTACTGTAGATGGGCTATACTCTTCTAGTAAATTCAAATCAAAAAGACATCGGCAAGTGCCAGCCCATTGAGGGGAAGAACTGTCATCGACGGTGGCCTGTTGCTCGACGTTGCGGACGGCCTCAGCGCCTCAGTTTTCTTTTCTTATTCTTATTCTTTTCTCTAAATCCCCGGGGCATTGTCTATCGCGAAGTGTGTGTCCATGTTTCGTAGCGCTGCGCCCTCGCCGCGATCTCCCGTTCCGCCGTCTTCTTTCCCGTGGCTTCAACCGAACGCGACGCGCGGTGATCGCGATGGGAACCGAGCCAACACCAACACGAGCACGAAACGGACCTCTCGCATCGACATGAACTTTGAGCAGGCGCTGCAAGCCGAGGGGACGATGGTGATCAAGGAGGGGGTTGATGTTGAGAGCCTGGGTGAAGATTTGACGCCATCGCTGATATACCTTTCTTCCTCTTCCCCTTTCTCTTCACCCGCCGCCTCCCGGCCACAGAGTATCATTCAGCAGACACCCACACCTACCATGTCTCCTTCCACACCCACACAATTCAGAAGCCCAGGCCCTTCACCCACTCCCCGACCTCCCGCCGCCGCTTCCGTCTCAACCTCTGCATCTTCTTCCTCTAACGATTTGTTTTATGACGCCGAAGACCCTGATTATCAAACCAAACGCCGCTCAATGTACCGGTCCCAGGGAACTGCCAGTAGTCCGGATCTCGCCACATTGGTCCGCAAAGCAAAGCAACGAGGGAGCATATTACCACCTCCACGGGTCGGCAAGGAAAGGAGCCAAGAAGCTGCACCGCCATTACCAGCAGGCCACCACGCGCCGTTGGACCCTTCTCTTCGACCGCGCCACACGTCCTCTACTTTATCTTCTGGGCAGACCGTTCCCCCAAACATCACTTCACCGGCCATGCTGAAAGGCAAGCCCCAGAAGTCCAGGCAGTCCGCCGGTCCATCCAGCGGTGCTGACCGGGCACCCACGAGCTCGAGTCATGACGACGGGAGTGTCAAGGCAAGTGTTGAGGCGCATCCTGCGCACGGAGTACTGATATCGACGGGAAACTAGAGCCCGAAATCTTCCGTTCGGCAGAAAACGAGCGCATTCTTGGGCCGGATGCTGGGACAAAATACAACCCGTGAACGCTCAGTACGTAGTTGTGTCATTCCCGTGGTTATCAACGTAACGTATCTGCCTGCAGAAGACCGATGCAGCGTCGACATCGAGACGAAGAGTACCAATACCTCCCCCCGTGCCTCCATTACCCGGGCCAGCAGACCGCCCTTCCCCCGCCCCATCTCCGGCTCCAGACGCTTTCCCGACTTCTCCCCGACTAAATCCCATTCTTACTGCATCGGACATGTCGAAGCCACTTCCTCCCATTCAAAGTGACGCTACGGGCAGTGGTAAGAGCATTATTTTTACCCATCCACCACCTGTAGTCATTGAGCGTGGACGCTCCTTAGGGTTGTCTCCCCAGCCAGCCTCTCCCGGCAAGACCGTTCGTACTCGTGATGCCATGACACCCGCCAGGGTACCGGTACACGGCAAGCGGCGAAGCATGTCTGTTGGTGAAGTCGACCTCAAGAAAGCTACCGGCTCCTCTTTGACTCCTGCGCTACCTCCCAGCAGCTACGGAAAGTGCAGTGAAGAATCAGTGGGCTGGGATTCCGCTATACGTGGCATGCTCTCAGACATCAAGGGAGAACAGTATGATCGAGATACCACCGCGACAACGAACACGCTTATGCTTTCAACGTCACCTCAACGGCCCGCCAGGCTGCGCATACGGAGTGCCGAGCCGACGGCTTCCGCATCAACGCAACTCGACACCCGGCAGGCGACGTCGTCTCCTCCTTTGATGAAACCCAATCCAACCATAGTTGCTTATGCAC